GCACTATATATATAGATAGTGTTACTGATTCTGAGAAAGAATAAGGCATAGAGCTAGCATTATTTCTCATTACCTCATACCTGATTAGGTTGACATTCACCCGGGACCTTAGTCGTGCTCAATGCTCTTTGACACAATTTATATGGTGTCATGTCATGGTGTCATAGGATATTGGTAATTTCTTTATTGAAAGTCTCGCATTGTCGTCCTCATTTTGGCTTCATCTATCCATCTTAAACTGCCAAATATAAAATCATGGAGTTTAACATGCAATTGCGTACACACTTAAAAATTCTCGTTAATCCTCACATCTGTTCTTTTTCTCAAATTCTAGGCGAACAACTGTTTAATTCAAACTACTGTTCAATCGAAATCGAAATTTTAATTCCACATTCTTATTTGCCATTTCATGTTAGATATAATATAAGTAGCAGTGGACGATTTCCGTTACCTCAGCTCTGTAGTCTGTAATGTACTCTGCCAATTGCAACACTTGACTAAATTTATTTTATATAATTATACTGTTTGACACTTTTATATAATTTGCTATTTTAATTCTTGAAACTGTTGTAAATCTTGTTACTTTGTTACCCTTACGTATGCTATTTATGACAATCTTCTACGGTAAAATCGTTATTATCACTCCAAGCCTTACTTGGTAACACTGTCCAACCTTCTTCTTCATATTACTACAAAGCTGTCCTCAATAACATAATATAGTTTTCGTCAGTCTCACTCAGAACATTTTTCTCAGGTACACATTGGTTTACACTCATTCTCAATGTTTGGCCCTTAAATCTTCCCCTGTACATTCAACAAATATATCCCGAATAAGGTGTCCACTATATAGTTACATAATATTATGTTGTGATCAATGATCGCGTTGTTTATCGTGAGTTGGCACTTGATGAATGTATAGTAGTGGGCCAATCAGGTTTATCAGCGTCTTTATCAACGCACTGTTCATTATTATTCTACCCTGATTCCGGATTCGCTATATAAGGATTGAATGGAAAAAAGGCAACCGCCCTGTGTAAACTATTTGAGCTCAATTAAAATGTAATAGCGTGTACATGGTTAATACTTATAGAATGGTGACTGGTGAGTGTGATAGCTCCTTCCGCATAATATAAGATGAATCTGAATATTTCAAACTCTGGTTACCACGGAGACAGTCTCAAGTAGAACATACACGAGTTGCCGTGTCAAATTAACCATAATAATTCAGTACCATTATCATTAGCGGTTTATGACGTAGCTTATATCAGCAGCGATGTTTTTACTGCTAGCTTTATTGTTTTCAGTTGTCTCATTTATTTCAAAGGTACCGTACGCGTACCGGCCTTAACTTGTCTTTAACTATAAATTTAACGATATACGCAGTCATTTTAGATGTAACTGCACATGCTGCCATGCTGGTGAGAGTATAAAGATGTAACAAGCTTCGACGGTAAAATCGTTATAGTCACTCTAAACCCAGCCCAACTTGGCTATACTGTCTAACCTTCTCCTTCATATTAATATATAACTGCGAAGCTGTCCTCAACAACATGATATAGTTTCCTCTGTCTCACTGAGAAATTTTTCTAGGTAAATTACATAGCCTTCCTTGCTATATGATATAATTTATCGTGAGTTGGTACTTTATACATGTATAGGGTGTAGTGGTCCAAAAGTCAGTGGGTATATGTTGGCCTCAATTGCTCCGCCGTGTTTTACATTTGAGAACTGTAGCTTTGCAGATGTAATGCCATATAACTGTTTTTACCATGGTAAATGGTTCGACGAGATTCCGTCGTCGAAATTTATGGTTTTGCATATTTGCACAGTGGAACTATCAGGTTTATTAAGTATCAACGTCTTTATCAACGCAGCTGCGCATAATTATTCTACTTAGTTTAACTCTCTTTCTATTTTAGCTGAATTCCATTCCCTCCCTGGCCCTCTTCGAGATGATTGCTTCCGTCAATTGCGAAGGACTCGCTCAAGGTAAGAAATTGACTCTCACGTATTTTTATAAGTTCAGATTAATCGTTTTAGCGATATAATGGGGGGGTACCAATGGCATAGATGGCATAATGGAGAATTGGCCAATAAAAAGTTCCATTTATGCCATAAAACGTATGCCATTTATGCCATTTTTGATATAATACATTTCTATTTTCTTTATTTGTCATATGAATCTTTAACAATCATTCCAAGCGTTATAAAGCATGAAACATGTCTCTTATTCAAGTACTAATAATAATTTGCGAATTTATAGTCAAATATGAAGACCTAAATTCATGGCATAAATGGAGAATTGGCCAATAAAAATTTCCATTTATGCCATAAAACGTATGCCATTTATGCCATTTTATGCCATTGGTACCCCCCCAATATAATATAATACTAAGACAAAAGTTCCGATTTTATGCGAATATTCAATTTATTTGTTTAGAGTTTGCCATGAATAAGTATTAAGTATTTGTTAATGTGGCGGCTAGAATAACTAGATTAGCCATCTTGAGCTATGATTTATCATGAAATACTTACAATTTCGACAGTTGCTTTTTAAACCTTAACTCGATAATTTTAGATAGAGAGATAATATTAAGACGAGCGGATCGATAAATCGAAGAATTAATTCATAAACTCGATTGTGTTTCATATAGTTTCATCTGCAAGATGGTAGACTTCTTCACTTCTCAGTTCTCAAAGCTCGACGATCTTCATATTATATTATACTTATAGGATAAAGGTTGTTATTTTATTTTTAAAATTAAGTACATTCATTTAACAATTCACTTTATTTGATAGCTTCTTTTGATTAACCCCTCCAAGCTCGATATTATATTTTATCATTAATATTATCTGCCATTTGTTCAATTAGTTACATTTCCAGGGTCAAATTACAGATAGTAATTGAGAGCGGCTTTAGAAATCAGGGAACGTGACCTATACATAGCATAGATTATCTCTTAATCAGGTAACATGTTAAATTGAGGGTAATTGTTACAATCTCTTAATGTGTACGGCAGATTATATCGTTTATAGTCATAACAAATATTTGTCCACCTACATGTTTACAATTGGCCCTTACTCACACATATAACCAATACTCCACACTTTCCTGTTACTGGCGACCCCAGGCTATAATTATCATTAACATAGACATTCGGTGAAATGAAAGGCTGGGCGCCACCCAGTCTGAGGGTTACTGTGCCCAGTAACTCCACCGTCTACACGTGCGCGCGGCTCTAACGGTGCTTCAATCGAAGCAATGGGGAGCAATGCTAATTATAGTGGTTACACTCACAGTCACACACACACACACAGAATAGTAAACCTAAGAGTTCATGAATCCGATATTTTGGAACAGTAAGACAGAATTGAGACAAATTTGGAACAGGCTTTTGGGGCAGTAGTTATGCCTGGACTGACTTTAAATTGATCTGGTATAAGGGGCATGGGAACTAACATGTTCAGTCACTGATCAGAAGTGCCAAATGATCCCCTGGTTCATGAAATGAACGAAATGAACAAAAATGAACTTTCCATAAAATCGCCTGAAATGAGTTGAAATCAATCAGAATCGATTGGTATTGATACTAGGAGTATTCCTGAAAAGTTTGGAGGCTCTAGCATGCTCAGAAAGGGCTCTAAGGGCAATGTCCCATTTTGGTTTCAGAGTAGTTGAGATTTTGGAACTGGATTGAGACAAATTTGGAACAGGCTTTTGGGCAGTAGTTATGCCTGGACTGACTTAAAATTGATCTGTTATGGTAGAGGGGCAATGGGCATGTGAACTAACATGTTCAGTCTCTCAGAAGTGCCAAATAATCCCTTGGTTCATGAAATGAACGAAATGAATAAAAATGAACTTGATCCTAAAATCGTTGTAATCACTCTAACATCTAAACCCAGCCCAACTTGGCAACACTGTCCAACCTTCTCCTTCATATATGATATAATTGCATAATTCTCCTTAGTAACCCGTCCCCGTCGCCATAGTTACAGACGTAAACAGGACATGAGTGGAATATCGTTCATAAAAGGCTATAAGCAAGCATACTAACTAATCCGCTTTACCAAGGTGTGTCATATAATGTACATACAATTATTTACACGCAATATTTGGCGCTTAAATCTGCCCCGTACATTCAACAACTATATTCCGGGCGAATAAGGTGTCCACTTCATAGTTAAATATTGTGATCATTTAGTCGCGTTGTTTATCGTGAGTTGGTACTTGATGAATGTATATAATAAGGGCGGGCCAAACATCAGTTGGTATACGTTGGCCTCAATAGCTCCGCCGTGTTTTACATTTTACTGTAGCTTTGCAGATGGCATATAACTGTATTTACTATGGTTCGACGAGATTCCGTCGTCAAAATGTATGTTTTTGCATATTTGTACAGTGGAACAATCAGGTTTATCAACTATCAACGTCTTTATCAACGCATTATTATTCTACTCAGTTTAACCCTCTTTCTATTTCAGCTGAATTCTGTTCAACGAGTACAGTAGACACAAGACAACCTCAAGAAAGCTTCTAGACTACTCCGCTTACTGTCACAACACTATGTAAGTTCATAATTTTACGAATTTAAGAATTATAACACATTTCTTTCTTATTTAAATACCTGAACCTTTTTCTATTGAAATCTTCTATATTAATCAATTGTATTATATTTATATAATATACAGTGCAGTATACACTATACATTACACAAATATGTTAACTCAAGGTAGTAATCAAGTTTTAATTTATGGACCGAACTGAAAATGTATCAAAGGTAAACAAAGGATCCATACCCCTGTTGCCAGAAATAGACTTTAATAACACTGTAAAAAACGTACTGTGCAGAATTTGGGCTCAACGTATTTGAGCATACAAGATTTAATATATTATTTGAACTTAATCTAAAATCCTCAATCTAAATAGTTTCTCCAAAATGTCTTATTTAATTAATTACCATTAAGTAAGTATACATTCAATTTGAACATATGATTTATAATATATCCAAACAAATGTGTAATTCACCGGTTGACTCATGATTAGGTCTCCGCTATTTTGCGATAAACGAAAATTGAGACGAGGTTACTTAAAATATATCGTTAGTTATAACTAGTATGTCCCTCTTCACCCTGTCACTCAGTCCTGGCACGATTCCTTCAATATCTTCCAAATTAAAAATATGTCCGCATTCATTTGTGAGAAGTTTAATGACTCCTTCCGTGAGTTCACAGTCCAGAAAGGGTCTGTTGTCACTATAGGACGTCAGCTGGCATGCTAACGCTTTTGCAAAGAACTCCCTATCTTCTTTCGTCACTGTGCGTCTAGGTTCTGGAAATATTATGACTGATATTGCTGATTCTTCACCACTCGCAGGAGCACAAAGTTAAATTGTTGTTGTTGTTATCATTACTTTTCGATAAAAGCAAAAAAGCACAGTTTAGGCATGAACGTTACAAATATTACATGCGATTTAAAACATTCGGTACTAAGTACTCAGTACTCACGCATGTCTACATCCGACCTCCTCTGCTTGTTATTCCGTTCCCGGAGTCTTTGAATGAGTGGGTCTTGGGAAGGTCTGCAAACATCGCAGCAAGTATCGTTATAAACGTTGTCATGCAGCTTGAGTACCCCTGATGACATTTATGTCATCGCATTGAAATGGCTAAAATTTGTGATTTCAAATGCCGTTGGAGAACTTAAAGTATTTGCCAACTAATAAAGGATATTGAATTACTTTTTCAATTGTAGGACTACGTGGAGCTGTTTTACCTTTAAAGGTACCAGAAAGTATTATCCTACGGCAAGTTCCATTCTGGTCGCGGTACATAAGACACTCTCCGTCCATATCCCTGGTCTTGTTGTGCGTAAATACAATACATATCGCCTTTAGATTTGCACTTCTCCCAGCCCGACCTGAGATTAAAAAGCAACGTTTAAGACAATTAAGCTCGTTAAACCTTTAATAGAGGTATATGTGCAGAGCGCTCTATAAAATTATTACAAATAACTTAATTGTTTCACATTACCCACCAATCATCTGGATGAAATCCTCTGCCGTACGAGCCATTTTCGAATGGATGACGTATTGGATCCCTAAAGAATATACATTTTTATCAAATTTACTATTAACCGTGTTTAACACAGAGAATCCATTTGTTTGAAATAGACTGTTTAAAGGTGTTTAAAATAGTCTTCGATATACTTGGTGCCAAACATAGTACATACCTGCTGCATCAAATCCCATAGATAAGGCACTTGTAGCTATGACGAATTTGATACGCCCATTGATATTCATTAGATCAGCCGCTATTTCTTCCTGTTTACTGTCTGGTATCTGGGAGTGAAATACTTCAACAAGACTAATTTTCCTCGGATCCTTTTTGAGTGCCTGAAATTAAGAAAATGTCACTGGTAATTGGTAAATAATGAGTTCCGTACACAGTTAACTTTAGTTAAGTCGGTAGATGGTTTAAATGCTGATAACCCGGCACAAAAAGAAATTTTTAAACAACAGTTTAACAAGTTTAAGTATGAACAAGTTAAATGGTTATGTCAGTCTTCAATATTTTATATCCCATATAAGCTAAACATGTGGCCATAAAATGAATTATTTAAGTATGTGCACAATCAATCATATTAATTGTATATATGCTGGCAAATAACCATTTTTACCTGCATGAATTCTAAATATCTATATCCGCAGTCAACCAACGAGTTTTCGAAGATTATCACCCTGGGACACTCTTCTGCTTCATTCTCAAGTAAGGACACCAGTGGTACTATGTCTAGCTTTCCCGGGATATTAATTAAAGAAATCCTGCTATTAACAGGATTTTGCGAGATTCTCATCAACTGATGCAACATTACAGAAAGTGTCACATATGCTCTAGTTCTTTCTAAATGTTAAAGCAGAGAAATCTGGCTATATAATATATTTATCAAATAAATGTGTAATAACAACAGATGTATACAATTACTGCAATTCTAAAAAATTTAAGTTTACATTAATGTGCTGATACGATACACTCCAAAATATTCCTAATTTTGTGTTGTTATCATAATCCCATTCCGCAGGGCACAACACCACAACTTCAGAAGATGCAAGGAGCGTGTTCTTAACTCTCCAAAACGAAGGTTGGTGAACAATAGAAAAATTGATATTTTGTTGGTTGGCGTTATCATGGTGAGAAACCAGGGGTATTACGAGATATTATAACGTCCCGAAGGTCATTTTAATTGTAATATTTATCCAATCTAGTACAATAAGTCCGCAGACTGTATAATAACAGTATCCCCTGAATCAAGCAAACAGGTGTTTGTGAATAGTTCAAAATAGATTCAAATGTGGTCTCTCGGATATAATTAGTTACTAATAATATTGATTGCTCAATGAAATAAATGATTACGATTAAAATGTGGTATATAAGTCGTTCGTTTTAAGTATTATCAGTTGCCATCATCAACAACAACAACTATTCCAATTCCTGACATGGTACTCTTCTGTCTAATGGACGAAATTAATGGACCCACCGCCTCCCTCGAGACTTCCTATTCCAGAAAAACCTCCTAAAGAGCTCCATGTCCTGTTCTGGGTGTAATGCATCTATGTCCCTGGTTCCCTCCTCGTCCTCGAAGTCTCCAGATGGCCTGATATGGCGCTGCTCCCCCTGCAAGAAGTACAAGAATATCAGAACAGACAGCATCCTCTCTGGACAGAAGCTCGCTCTCAAGACCTTCATACAACTGCTGTTCGCAGAGTAGGGCTGAGTTCATCCGTTTCGTTTTCTCTGAGACCATAGTTGTAGTCGTTCAAGAAGGAGTTGATTATAGAAATGATTGATGCAGTCTGATAATAGTTATTCTTTATATATTGCATGATGTGAACTGATCTCGTAAGGTTGCTTAATCGTTTAATAAGCCTTGACACCACCGCTGATTGAAATTCGCGTGCGATGATGTGAACCCTGCTTGATTCAGGGGATGATGTGAACCCTGCTCGATTCAATGATTCAGGGGATGATGTGAACCCTGCTTGATTCAGGGGATACTGTTATTATACAGTAATATGCCCTAATATGATCTGGTAGACAGGTGTCTGCGGACAACTGACCGCGGACAGTTGTCCGCGGACAGTGGTCGGGCTATCTCGATACTGCCCGAGAATGTTGGGTTAATACAGTGGGTGCTTAATATGTTTACGGCATGTCTAAATAAGAGAGTTTGAATGCATGTCACGTGATATAGTTAACAGTCAGTGTAATTACGAGTCAGGGAATGTGTCTAGCTATACAGGGCCCTTTGGTGTATTTGTAATAAATTTTTTAGTGACGTGACACCTCTTAGTAATAAGTAGTGACGATTAACGGGACAAATTATGGTTAATTTTCTAAAAAACTAGCAAATATGTCACCTTTAGATAAAAAAAGGACCCACGCTCAAACATTTTTCGAGGTACGTTAAGCGCGCGCACCGCAGTTCCTTTTATATGATTATGACGTATCGTCTCGGTTTAACAATCATAACATGATCACGTACTGTACGTGACGTATAATCTTACTTATTTAGTCAACAAAGAGTGTGAGAGAGTGCGAAAGTAAAAGTACTATACTATACTGCGAAACGGACAAATTGGTTTAGTCAATAAACTGGGATGAACCGCTTTTGGTGTTACGCCTTACGGTCAGATAAATAAACTACTGTATTCTGGTCCCAATAGTTTACTGTGACTTTTGAGTTGAAGATTAGGCGTACATCATAATGTCCCTAGTGTTTTGTTTAGCTCACCAAGGTTTAAGGACTATTTGAAAGTGAGGGATTTTACTAAGAAGAAGCAAACATCGACCAATAGCTCTTATTAATGCTATTTGTTTGTTTAAAAGGCGAAATGTGGGATTCTATTCGCTTTAAATCCGGTTCCATAATGATACTTGACTTAGTGCGGCTTTGATGTCCGAGCAAAGCTATTATAAGTTAAACCTTAGTTTGTTAAAGTTGGCGGTTTTTCAAGAATCTCCGCCATACTGTCCATATCTCAGTTCTCGATAGGCGTAGAATCGTATCATACTGATAACTGATGTTGTGAGCAAAAACAACATAACCCCTCCCGCCTTGAGCCTTCCTGCTCGATATTATAATATTATATAAATTAGTGCTATCCCCAGATGGGTTTAAAGCTAATGGTGCTACTAATAGTTTTGCCTTTGGTATTTGAGACGGGTTTTGAAAAAATCTCTCTAAACAGGCATATTTACATGTTAGTGTGTTACTGAAATCTGTAATCTTTTCGGCAAATGCCAGCTACTGTAATAAACCAGAGTTATAGCATATATTCTAAGATGACACTTATACGCAGCTCTGAACATCAAACATTCTATTCAACTGTAATTATAGTGTTTAGAATTTGTATAATGTACTGGCACGTCTGCCAGCTTTATTCTGACACAATAGATATAAATCACTCTACACGACACCGGAACTTCGATATGTTCCTAAGTTATAAGTTACGTGAATTTTCAAGTGCATACGGTAAAGTGATCTTTCCTTCAGTTACGCAATTAAATAACTATTCGAAAACTGAAAGACTAGTTGTTCCCCTTGAAGATGTATGTACAGTAAAGCTTTGAACCCCGGCCCAAATTAATATCGCCTCAATCGAAAGTTGCTGGTAACAACTTATAAGTCAGTCTGATATTTCAGTCTCGGTGTAATTTTGTGTCGCCAAGCAAGGATAAATATACAGGGGGGAGGGGGGCAAAAGTCCTAATAGCTCAGTCACTGAGTGCCCAATCGAAATAATTCAATCGCATTACATTTGTCCTGAAAAAAATGAGAATTCTGGTTTCTCATATGACCGAGATATAATACTATAATATCTTCGCCACAGTATGCCATCTGCAAAGCAACAACCCTCTAAAATAAGACACGACGTTGGTATAAGACCCAACTTATGCCCACTGACCAGAGCTGGTCCATATTCCAGAACTCAGAAGTCGATGGTAACCCTCCTGTTATGAGAGGGGGGGGGGGGCAACGTAGAATTCTACTCTACTTTATTCTACTTTATTCTACTTTATTCTACGTTCCCCCCCCCCCCCCCTATGAGAATATTCTCTAGCTGCTGTACGCTGCTTAGGATTTGTTTTTGTTCAGGGGCAGGCTTGTCACATAGGTCCAGGGCTTCCGGACTTTTGGGCATGGTGCAGGTTGTGGTACACACTCAACTAGGTGGTCTGAGAGTCGGAAAACCTCCAAAAAGAGATGTCATCAGAATGTAAGCCACTACCTGACTAACCTGTGAATAGAGTTTTCTAGACTCAATAATCATGGCAGGTAGTATCTTCGGTGCGTTGCTGAGATACCGATTTAGTGAGTAGTAGGATGGTCATCAAATCAGAAAAGGCAGACCTGAGTTGATAGCACGGTACTTGTAACGGTTTCCTCATTCTGCTCTCAGACTGACTAATGTCTCCACTTTTTTATCTCCTGTTAAGATTATCATTTCTCCGCTGTTAGGATTGTTCAATTATGCTTTTTATTTTGGACACACCATTGAGCCAGATTGTCGCAGCGTATGTCAGAGAAGTTCTGAGTATAAATATTATATAGGCTTATTCTGTCACAAACAATGAATTATTAATCTCATTTGCCCTATCCCCAAGTTCTGATAAGTCTACAAAGAAGATCAGTAAAAAATAACTGGGATATCATTACAGTTATTAAAGTTCCGATCGATGCTATTAGCCCAAATGAATGGGTTTTTAAATAGATTCTAAACGAACACTTATTCTTTCAGGAGGGGATCTGCAATAAACAAAGACGATATATTTTTGGCCAGAAATTTGCGGAGTTCCTTCGTCTTGATATCGGTCTTGGCTGCAGTTGTATCTCTCGAAATCAGGTATTCACTATTAAAAGCTATCCTGCCTGGCTTAAATCCTGGTTGTTAAAATTAAAAGCCTTTTTGCATGGTCATCTTTAATTAAAAATAAATCAGCTTTGTTAATAATTTACTGTCGTCTCCTTGGTTGGAAGTTGGACATTTTCTCTCATTTTCACACGTAGAATCTTATTTTCTTTCCCTCAGTGACGGTTTGAGGAGACACTGCATCTCACTGCTCGGTGGAGACACGGGGATATGAAGCTGTTAATCCCTCTTAAAGTCCACTGCACGTTGTCACAGAGCCTCAGTCCGATCAGAGCAAGCAGCAAAGATCAAAGGAGACTTTTCCTCCAATGTCAAACAGATAAATTTCGACAGAAAACTTCTAGCAGACCTCGGATGATTTAGGAAAGTAAACATACTTGCAATCTGTAAGACAAGTGACTCTACAGGAACTAGCAAGAGGCAGAGAAAGTGAAGAAGATTCGACGACCGAAGCCTAGCAGATAAAATAATAGCCGATGAATTTGATACGACATCATAAAATACTGGAGTCCACAAAGGAGCATGTCCTACTTTTCAGCCGCTCCTCAATCGACAGATCCTCTTGATGGCTTGCAGACATCACGTCCTTGAGGCGGATCTTGTAAGAGGATCTGCCTCTAAGCAACTGTTCGGTGACACAACATCACTTGAAGTAACCCTTTTTAAGATCATGAAGACCTCCTGGGAAGATCTCAATCTGCAGAACATTGTCCTTCCTGATATCCCTACTTGCAACAGGAACGGAAGATCTTCTATCCTTCATTACTCAAATCCGTCAACTCAACAACCAGCCCAGGAGAATAAAAGGAATTACTAGAGC